AGCATAACTTAGGTCAACTTACGCGGGTAGTGTAGACAAGGCCTGAGTCAGATACCACCAACAAAAGATTGATTTTCTTCTTTGGTGGTTTGGGTTCTGTATTTTCCACATTGGAGTGTTGCTCTTTGAAGACTTCTGAAAGCATGCTCCACACCTTGTCCCTCTCAGATTTTGAAAGGCACTTCAGATTCTTAAACTGTGGGTCAAGTGTTGCAACTATCTTTAGAAATCTCATATTGTACCTTTTTTCTGTTTTGTCAAATCTGCAGTGAAAGTGTTCTTAAATTGAACAACATGGGCTGGGCCATCATCTGAGACTGCTATAATATGAAATATATGGCAGAATGTGGGTAAAACAGAGCAGGAGAAATACGATTCTCACCCAAGGAGTTGAGTCACAAATTGAATTAAGACAGTATTTTTTTAATGAGTGTCATCAGCATGGAAGCATGTCCTCTGAAACAGTGGCCAAAGCATGAAGGGGTATACGAATGTTTAGCATATCTGGCACATAAATACCTTGTAATGCTGGTTATAAAAGTGCCATGTGAATGCTTGTTCTCACTTTCAGGTGACATTGTAAATAAGAAGCAGGCAGTATTATCTCCCATAAATGTAAGCAATTGGCTGAACAAGAAGTAGGACTGAGTGGACTTATAGGTGCTAAAGTTTTACATTGTTTTGTTTTTGAGTGCAGTTATGTAAAAAAAAATCTACTTTTGTAAATTGCATGTTCACATAAAGAGATTGTACTACTCTACTTGTATGAGGTGAATTGAAAAATACTATTTTTTATTTATCATTTTTACAGTGCAAATATTTGTAATCAATAATAATAATAATAATAATATAAAGCGAGCACTGTACACTGTGTATTCTGTGTTGTAATTGAAATCAATATATTTGAAAATGTAGAAAAGCATCCAAAATATTTAATAAATTTCAATTGGTATTCTATTGTTTAACAGTGTGATTAAAACTATGATTAATTGTGATTCATTTTTTAAATCTCAATTAATTTTTTTGAGTTAATCTCATGAGTTAACTGCAATTAATCAACAGCCCTAATTCTGGAATTTCCTAATGTTTGGATGCTTGACTTTGCAACTTTAGCATTATTTTAATGTCATTTGTGTGTGTGTAATCTCTATATAAATTGAACCAAAATGAATATGTCTGGAACCTTGTCTGTAAATCCCTTTGAATCTGAGGTTGTTGATGCATTGGATTTGAGTATCAAGAACAGATCTGTTCCTACAGTTTTGTGTCTGGGTCTGGCCTAAATCCTGTTTTATGACTCTGGTTCAAATGTAGCCAAAGTCTCATGGCAATAGCTCATGAAATCTCATTGTTATGAATTTGAACACAGCTTGGAACCTGGCCTAAACTGGATCTACATGTGAATCAAAACATCACCTCCTCAGCTACCACTATTTAAGAGATCACATATCTGAGTGTTTAGGAGGTGAATATTTATCTATCTTTCCTTAGCTCTTCATTACTGATACCTCAAAATGCTTAGGTTTTATTAACAGTAGCATTCCTTAGACTACTACATCCTGTAGCAGCAACCTTAACTGAGTTAAGTTTTTTTTAATAACTATGTAGGACTAATATAGAGCGTAAGAGGTCCACAGGGTCTCTATAACACAGATCCCATGAGCTCTGCAAGGCTCCTGGTTACCACCAGACTCCACTGCCCTGCAGATGTCATGAACTCCACAAAGTACAAGGGGATCCATTCACAAGGGGGTTGCCACTTTAGGTGCATAAGTCCAACATTTAGGCCCCCGCTGGTATTCACAAAACCACCACTCATCTACGAACCACCAGAAGGCAAACTACTTATACACGCACTACAACCATTATAATTAGATACAATTATTAATAACTGTACTTAATTACAACCTATTTTCTTCTTCTAATCCAGTCTGCACATGTTTTTAAGGAGATTTAACCATGTGGAAAATCTGGAGTAGTCACAAACCATTTTTTAGCTAGAGGGATACAAAGAAATGTTACACACATGTTAACATTTCAAGGCAGAGCAATTTTGTAATGATCTGAAACTCAAAACACTGTTTGACAAAGTTTATCCAAACATTGCAAAAAATTGTACTTAAGCCTTCAGAGTAAACATACAAAAAAAAAAAAAGAACAATATACAAAATGTGAAATTCTACTAGATCAGTGATTCTCAAACTTTTCTATATCATGACCCCAAGTTACAACAGAAAATATTTCAGGACCCACTTCCCATTTAGCCAACCATATGGAAAGGCAGGGTGGTCATGATCCCCTGAAACATGTTTGTGACTTTTAGGTTGAGATACCATGGCCTAGATGATGGTAGACCCACCAACTGGAATATCTAATCAGGAGAGACAAAAAGAGAAAGGTTTCAGAGTAACAGCCGTGTTAATCTGTATTCGCAAAAAGAAAAGGAGTATTTGTGGCACCTTAGAGACTAACCAATTTATTTGAGCATGCTCAAATAAATTGGTTAGTCTCTAAGGTGCCACAAGTACTCCTTTTCTTTTTTTAAAAAGAGAAAGAAAGATCTTATTCAGGATTTATTTATATAGCAGTGGTTGTAAGGATGAATAAGTGATAAGAAAGGAGCAGAAGGATGGACCAGTGGGTAGGGTGTTAATTTCGGATTTGGAAGACATGGGTTTAACTCTCCATTCTGCCACAGCCTTCTTATGTGATGTTGTGTAGGTCACTTAGTCTCTCTGTACCAGCTCCCCATCTTTAAAATGTGACTAACAACATTCCCTTACCTTACAGGGCTGTTATGCAGATAAGCACACTAAAGTTTATGAAAAAACAATGAGGAGTCCTTGTGGCACCTTAGAAATTAACAGATGTATTTGGGCATAAGCTTTCATCAGCATCTGATGAAGTCGGTTTTAGCCCACGAAAGCTTATGCCCAAATAAATTTGTTAGTCTCTAAGGTGCCACAAGGACTCCTCGTTGTTTTTGCTGATACAGACTAACACGGCTACCACTCTAAAGATTATGAGGTGCTCGGATAGGATATTTCCATCTAATTCTTTCAGCTTCTGTCTGTTAAATCCCCAGGAGGGATGGGGCACATGTGGCAGGAATCTGTCTATGTGAGCCTGGATTCAGAGAAAGGAAAAGCCAAGTCAGTGATTAATCATAATCATACCTAACAAGGCTTCTTTTTTATTGCTTTGTAGGCCTGATCCTACATGCAATTCTCAGATAAAATTGTCCATTGAAATCAAATAGTAATTTTGGCTGAGAATGACTAATGGGTTGGGCCAGATCCTCAGCTGGTGCGAATCAGCACCAGTCCATTGAAGTCAATGAAGTTGTGCTGAGGATCTGCCTCTAAATGCTTACACTGTCTGAAAAATATTTTTCAGATCAGCATATTTAGAACAATTTCCCGCATGTAAGAGACAAACCATTATACTGCTGGACTGCCCAATGGAAGCAGTTTTAACTACTATATAGGGGTTTGTTGAAAAAGGGAAAATAATCAGCTATTCTCCTCTCCCTCTATAAGGGCTGGTCTAATGCCCATTAAAGTCATTGGGAGTCTTTCCATTGACTTTGGTTCATGGAGTTAAGCATAGGAAGAGGAGAACAGAGCCCTTTGGCTTTTAATTAAGGTTACCCAACTTGTGAAAAGTAGTTTTTCTCCAAAGTTAGATCTCTTTGCTCCACTATTTCATTTTTACATGTCCCACCCTAGTTCCTGCCTCCTTGCCAGACCAGTACACTTTGCACCAAAATTTCAGCCATTCAATGTAAGGAAACATATTGAATTTAACATGCTTCTCTTGGGAAAAATGCTTTTGCCCTCCATAACTGATGTCTGTTACATATGAAATATGTTGTCCAACATAGTCACATATACATATCATAGTGGATATGATACTTTTCTAGTCCTTGTTTCATTCTAAAAGGCAGAATAGTTAAATTGTCTTGTTTCTGAGGTTATGAAATGTATCTGATTGGCTGTCCGCTTGGAGAAACAGAGGCCTTGTCTACACCACAGAGTTTTGTCAACAAAAGTCAGCTTTCATTGACAAAATGGTGGAAGCGTACAGACTACAGTGCTCCTTCCAATGATAAAAATCTCCTGCTTTGCTGACAAAATAAAACCACCTTGACGAGAGGCATAGAGTTTTTTGCGGCAAAGTGTCAGTGTAGACACTGCGCTTGGTTATGTCACTGTAAATGGCCTCCAGGAGGTCTCCTGCAATGCTCATCCTGACTGCTCTGGTCAGCAGTTCGAACTCCATTGCCCAGTACCTAGGTATACAGGTATCCACCCCTCCCCATTTAAAGGCCTGGGAATTTTTGAAATTCTACTTCCTGTTTGCTTGGCATGGAGAGCTCACATTGCATCTTCCCATCTGACCATGGTGGCTCCATGCAGCAAATGCTGTCCCACTTGGAGCACACATGAGTTGTTGGATCTGCTGGCACTGTGGGGAGAGGAGACTGTGCAGTCCCAGATCCTCTCCAACCGTAGGATCTTCGATATCTATGGGCAGATTTCTCATGGCATGTTGGATAAGGGATACAAATGGAACATGTTTTGCTGTGCAAAGACAAAGGTGCTGAGGCAGACATACCAGAAAGCAAGGGAATCAAACCATCACTCTGGTGCTGTGCTGAAGACCTGCTGCTTCTATAAGGAGCTAGATGCCCTCGTTGGTGGCGACCTCACCTCCATCACCAAGAGTCCCATGGATACTTTGGTGGGGCTGGACACAGCAGACAGCAGAATTAACCCCAAGGACAAAGTCATGGATGAGGAGTTTGAGTAGGAGGACAATGTGAAGTACGCAGGGTCATCCCCCTCCCCGGGGCCAAACTCACCCTGTTCACCCAGATTGTCAAGGGACAGTGAGAAACTGATTTGTATTTAAAAAGAAGTGCATTTTACTATAATGATTTGATGTTGTGCACGAACTAAAAATCATGCTTCTTTTTATTGATTCTCGTTCTTCTACAGATGTGGCCTTCAGGAGAACCCCCTACATACCAGCAGAGTGCCTCCACCAGATAAGGAAGCAACCAAGGAAGAGTAAGGAGGACATGAATCAAGAGGTGCTCCAATCCTCAGAGGCCAAAAAACAAGAATGCAGGGCATGGAGAGAGACTTTAAAAGAAAATTATAAAATATACAGGCAGGACAGAAAGGAGAGTCAAGAGTGAATTTTAGTGGTTCAGGAGCAGATTATAAAAGTGATGGAAGAGCAAATGGAGATATTGAAGTCCCTAATCATGCTGCATGAGACATTCATGATGCTTCCCCGCCACCACAGCCGATACAGAACTGCTTTCCATGCCCCCCTGAAACTCCTCCCATATATTCCTTGCAACTTCCTGGCCTGTCTAGGTACCCCATTTATTCCATCCCTTCTGACAGCTTCAAAATGATAGCTGGACTTACACACAGCTATAAGAGCCTACATTGATGTTCATCGTTATCTCCCTTCCCACCAAGCCTTTTGTGTGTGTTGTTAATTAGTATTTAATAAAAACAAACTCTCTGAAAGATAACCAATCTTTATTTGTGTCCTACACATGGTGGTTGCTGCTGGAATTAATACACAGCAGCAATCTGATCATTTGCTGAGTACAAATCATGGTCAGGAATCATCAACATTTTCCTGCAAGTTAACAAAGCATGGCAGAGTGCTGTATAGAAAGACACCTTACTGGAACTCATTGTCCAAATGGTGCCTCAAAGCCTTCCTGATTCGAATAGCCCCCCATTATGCCCCTCTAATAGCCCTGGTATCTGGCTGCTCAATATCAGCTGCCAGGTGATCAGCCTCCACATTCTACCCCCGGGAAAACGTTTCACCCTTAGCATCACAACTATTATGGAGTGCACAGCAGGCTGCTATGACCATGGGAATATTTTCCTCATTTAGGTCTAACCTGCCATAAAGGCAGCGCCAGTGCACTTTTAATCTGTCAAAGGTACATTCCACAGTCATTCTGTACTTGCTCAGCCTATTGTTGAAGCACTCCTTGCTGTTGTCCAGATTTCCTGTGTAAGGCTTCATCAGCCATGGCTTGGTCTCCCAGGATCACTATGATCATTTCAACATCCCCCACTGGAATCTTCTGGTCTGAAAAGAAAGTCCCTGCTTGCAGCTTTTTGTACAGGCCAGTGTTCCTGAAGATGCATGCATCATGCACCTTCCCTGATCACCCTGTGTTGATATCAATGAAATGCCCATGGTGATCCACAAGTGCCTGCATACTATAGAGAAGTACCACTTTCTATTAATATACTCCCATGCAAGATGGTCTGGGCTAAAATTGAGATATGTGTGCTATCTATTGCCCCGCCACAGTTAGGGAATCACATTGCCACAAAGCCATCCACTATTTCCCACACATTGCCCAGAATCACTGTCCTTTGTAGCAGGAAGCAATTAATGGCCCTGCACACTTGCATTAATGCAGTACCACCTTCCCAACTCCAAACTGATTTGCGACCGACCAGTAGAATTGTAGCCTTGCCAGCTTCCACACCGTGATTGCCGCGCACTTGTTCCCCGAGAGGGCAGCTCTTGTTTCGGTGTCCTTGTGCCACAGGGCTGTAGTGAGCTCCACGCACAGTCCCAGCAAGGTGGCTTTCCACATCGGAAAGTTCTGCAGCCGCCGCTCATCATCCCAGACTTGCATAATGATGCAACCCCACCACTCTGTGCTTGTTTCCTGAACCCAAAAGCAATGGTGCACCATGTTTAGCTGCTCTGTGAATGCCAAAAGTAATCTGTGTTGTTTCTTTCCCTGGCACACAGCAGGTCAGACAATTCTGAGTCCTGTACAGATTGGGAGCTTATGATATACTGCATGGCCATCCACAATGTGTTCATAACAGTGACCACAACATTAGAGAGCAGTGAGAAGCAGAATTTCATTTTGTGACATTTCACGTCTTTTGAGTACACAGAACGACAAGCAGCACTTGTTCATAGGAACAAGCTGATTCAGCTCTGCTCACCGGATTCCTTTCCAAGTGGCACGTTTATTGAGTCCTGGTTTGGGGTGTCCTTCTCAAAGCCTGTTATATCTCAGGTGGTGCACCCTTTTGTGGGGTCTTGTTAAACACACAGGATCAGACAAGAGCTGTGTTAAGTGTGGTATGAGAACCTAAAAGCAGTGTTCAGGGGAGGGGATGCCAAACCCTTCACTCAGCAGTAACACAAAAGGGGGCAAATATAAAGCAGAAAATGGGGAAGAGAAAGGTCATCCAAAGGAAGTACCTTGGGACAAAGAAAGATGATCCTGGTGAAAAGCTTACCCTTTTCTAAAAAATAAAAAAATCATCTGTGATTGTGTAACCCACTGTTCAGTGTGTTACATATTTCCCTTTGTGACTGATCCGGAGAGGATCTGGGTTTGTTATAGCTACCAGCAAAAGCCATGTAACCCTTTAGCTCAAGCTGTAGAGGCTTAATATGCTCTTAACAGTGGAGGTCCAGGTTCATTTCTTAATGATGACCAAGCTAGCAGTATTGATAACTGTATGCCACAAGGATACAGAATGTAGGTTATTATCAGGGTTATCCTAGCACTCACCTCTCCTTGTTATTTTATCCCAACAGATGAGATCAGGAGATGCTCTCACAGATAATCCCTAGATTTTCATATGTTGGATCTGGAGGCAGGGTCTTCTCACTGGAGGACACACAAATCCAGAATTTGCTTCTCTCATTGATCTCACAGGGCCTGAGCATGTTGTTTTTCAGGGCAAGCCTTATCTAGTCACTCAGGAGTATGCTGAGGGGTGGTTTATCCCTGTGGAGAGGTAGGGCTGAATTTCTTTTACTGGAGGGTTGGTTGAGTTCTGGTCAATTGACTTATGTCAGTTTTGCAGTGTTTTAGTTTAGTGTGTGGTTGCAGGATTTATTGTGGCTAGAAAATGGGATAGGCACATTCTATACATTATATGGTATTCAGTCCTTAGTTTTCTGCACTGGCAGATCAGGCTTTGAGTGGCATTACTCTTTTAGTGCATTTCTATCTATCTATAATAACATGGTCCTGTTCACCCCCTTCATTGGTCCCAGCAAGGTTTTCTATTTACATATATTTTGCTTCTCAAGTGTGCTTTATTTTGGCTTTAAGGTAACAAATGAGATTCCTAGGGCCTCATTCTCCTCTCATTCACGCTGGCTTCCACTTGTGTTATTCTACTGGCTCCTGATTCACACACTCATGTAAATGAGTGAAGAATCATTTCATTACCTGCAATAACACGGACCAGTTTAGTAAGACCATTGGCAGAGAACCAATCCTTATTCTGCTGAAACCACAAGGCTCCAAAAGCTGACTTTAAAGGGCATCACTGGAGCAGAGAGGTCTGTACAAGAATCACAAGGGAACTATATCACATATGGAAGATCATATAAATTATGACCACATTTCTTAATCAAGCAATAATCTTTAGGAATATTCAAGTCATATTCTTCAAATAATGCTCTTTACAGTTAGTAAAGGACTACATGATAACACTGTTAGCTATTTCTCCTGTCAGATAACATCTGATGGCCAAAACACATTTGACAGACATATACAGACTTCCTTTTGGGTGAACTACAAAGAAACATATAGGTCAGTTTGATCCAGCCTTTCATTACAACTTTGAAAATATAGGTTTTTACAATGGAATAGCATCTTTGCAGTACCTAGACTGTCAAAAACCACAATTTTAGTAATTGTTTATGCATTAGGGAAACCTCAACCTAAATCTGAAACCATGTGAGTGTGAAAAGAGCAACAGCTGACATTTCAGAATAACCATTATGATCAAGCTGGAGATATGAGTCATCATGATCTGTCTGACAACAAGGAGGGGGAACCCCCCCGCAAAAACAACTACCCCCAACCAAGGTTGAAGAGGCATGGGCAGATTTCAAATGTCATTTCAGATGCCAGCCCAAGTGCATTACCAAGCAAGGAGACTTTCATCCCGCATGTAGGGAAGCAGCTCCCAACTGGTTACAACTTTGAAGAAGCCCAAATGCACATGTGGTTCCATTAGAGGTCACTTGTGCTTCAGACAGCCAAAATAGGGGGGGAGGGATCCAGTGGGAAAAAGAGGTTAGCCCTTGAAGAGCTTCAGAATTTTGATAATTTTTATCATTTTTGCAAAAATATCACCCAGTGCTTTCTGGCATGCCACCTCCACAGATATGTACAGCAGTTAGATCGCAGCTTTTCATGAATTGTGGAGGTCAGCATACTTCCTTCTGATCTGAAGATAACAAGAGCTGGATGATTTCTCTGTGTCTTAGATCCATAGATTTCAAGGCTAGAAGGGACCAATGTGAACTTCTAGTCTGACCTCCTGTATAACACAGGCCATAGAATGAATGTCCCCAAAATAATTCCTAGTGCAGCACTACGTGTGAGTTTAACGCCAATCTTCTAGACTTTAAATTACTGCCTAATTTCCTTCTCATGATGCCTATAATGAATCTCACTGATTTGTGTAGAAAAACCCCTCTATTGTTTCACTTCCCTGCCTTTGTCTGCCTGTCTATCCTTACTTAGACTGTAAGCTTTTTGGGGCAGGGACCATCCTTTCGTGTATGTTTGGAAAGGACCTAACACTCTGTGGGAACTATCACAATGAATAGTAATTGCACACCTGCTTTCTTTATACCACAACAGGGCATCCACAATGTGAATCTAACCATGGAATGAGGCCCTCAAATGATTTGTGACATACAGGTGCTGTGAGAACACTGGCTGACACTTCTGAAGCCATGCAAAGGACTCTGGGCTGTTTGAGACAATACTATGCTAAAGAACAATAGGGAACCAATGGTGTGCAGTAGCAGGATGGTAATGGACCAATCAGTGCACACCAAGTTAGCGGCTTTAGAAATCCCACTCCTGTAGTGCTCATTTCCCCACTGTGTAGACAAGCTCTCAGACATGGGAGATGTGTGGTGAAATCCTCTATACTGCTTTGAAAATCTCAAGCATTTTGTATATTCTCACCAAATAAATGACAGATACCTAAACATCTCAAACAATGTTGCTAAAGTTATCCTCAGAAATTAGATAAATACATAAATATATATTAGGAACCAGACTCCTAAAATCCCTGTCATGTTCATTTGAAAATATACTATTAAACAACCAGTAAATATAGTTCCATAATTTTCTTGCCTTCTTTTGTCTGTGGAGGAGGGTAATATGGCTAAAGAGTGCTGACCTGTGCACTTACACTAGATAACTGCATATTTATGTGTTTATAATGGATACATGGGCAAGGATTGGCATAACTAACTGTCCCTGTTATTATTTAGCATTTGTATTATGGGAGAACCTGGAGACCCCACTCAGGATCAGGGTGCCTTTGCGCTAGAGACTGTATAGAGCAAAAGATGGCCCCTGCCCCAAAGCTAATCAGAAGCTGTAAGTGTGCTCAGTTGACATGGGGACAGCTAATTTTCTGCTGCTCAATATGTACACAGGGTAAGGAAGGCACAAGGAGCACCCTGTTGCATAGCTATGTATCGGTGGGA